GGCCTGAAGTCTGTTTCCTACTATTATTTGAACATTTTTTGCTTAATATCTTTTTTTTATATTTCTATCGTCGCACATAGTACAGTTCGTTCGGACGACTACTCAGCAATGCTATATATGCAGCCAGTGATCTGATGGGTCTAGAGACAATTGCTCCTCAAGTTATAGGTTCTTCGTATTAGTTTAATTCGAGTAAACATACTAATAATTGTATCAGTTGAAATTTATATAACAAAAACTATATATTGCATTTTCCATAGCAAAGGTAGAGGCGTGCGGCCGATCGCGAGGGCAAATACAGCCCTCCTTTGCAACACGTCGACAGCACCTCAAGGGACGTTCCAGGACGTCTCACAATACCTTGCCACCCTCAGCGGTAGCGAGGCCGCTAAAAACGTTTTAATGCCTAACAAATAGGCACAGTTCAGCTCATCCTTGTTAGAACAAGCACTTCATCGTAGATGTGCAGCAGCGGCCGCGCTGCTGCTGTAGCTTGCGCGTTCCGGTGATCGTGTCCTGCTTCAAACTCCAGCATAAATATTGGGAGTGACCTGAAAGCGGCGCGTTTTTCACCCTCCAGTTGGGTTTTCCGTCGCTATTTTAGCTTGAAGAAACAGTTGAGCCGGCGATTTCGGAATGGTGAAGTCGAAAGTGGGCGGCGTGTCTCACGGTCGTTGTGGAACAGGAGTCTTTGGATCAAAGGGAAACATCCCATCCGTTTGCTCGTATTCTTCCGTGGTCTCCTGGCTTGCAGAAGTCTCTCTGTTGCCGTCGAAAGGGCGTTCGAAGCTGCCGAGGATTTCAAGACACTTATATATGTCAACCGCAACAGTCGGGGCGTTCTTGGGGGCATTGATTTTTCTTGCAAATGTTGCCGGGGCAATTCAGCCTCCTTCCCCCACTGTAGGAGTGGAGACAAGATCTATGGTATGGAGCACTATTGCTGATGACAACTGGCTTAATGAAGGCTTTCCTGAGGCCCAGCCGGGCATCGGCAGCGGGGCAGCTCTTTCCGCTCCTCCGGTGAAGGACATTCGGCCCTTGCGTGCTGACGGTGTCTTTCGCATTTCAGAAGAACCAAATGGCGCTCTACACACAGGAAATCAAATCAAAACTGAAGGAGTTGACACCCCGTTTCCAGCAGCTCCTCCAGCCGGTAACCAGGCTCGGGAGCCCGTCATAAGGCTCTCTCGCAGCACAGCTGCATTGCTGCTACTTTTCATGGTAGGCCTGCCAGTATTAAATTTCCTAGGGCCCTCAATTTTTCTGAAAAAAAGTCCCGACGTTCGTCCCGAACGCTTTGACGAGCAGCTAAGACAAGGCGAAGGAGAGCGAAAGATACCGCAGCAACGAGAAGAGGAAGATGCAGAGCCGCCAAGGCAGCAACCGCAACGTGCTTTGGACCTTGATACTTGTAAAGTTGGGCTTCAACAGCTGGATGACATGCAGAAGCTTCAGCCGCTGACTGCCCACCTGGCGAAGATGGTGGGAACTGGAGAGGCGTTGAGTGCAATGCACGACTTCGGACAAAAGGTCAAGAGGGGGAACCACATTCGTCAGACTCTCTTGGCAGGTTCTATTGAGCCTGGGGTGGCGCCTGGCACTCTAGTCTCTGGTGCCGTGAGTGACGGGCTTCTTGCGCTGTCTCGGCTATACGAAGTGGCTCGGGAGCACGGGTTGTCTCTGGCGCAAAAGGTGCGAAGTATAAACCCCCCCCCTGTATTGTCAGAAGAAGAGCTGAACGCCACGAGAGTCTGCCTTCCTGCAGACCTCTCGGGCTTGCTGGAGTTTTATCTCCGTGACGCCCACGAATCTTTCCTAGCCCATATGCGGATCGTCGAGACAGTGGAGAAAAGGCTTGAGGGTCTGCGGGGAATCGAGGGGGCGAACGACTGGCACGTGGTGGCCACAGTTGCCGCAGGTCTGGAGTTCATCAAGGAATCGCGTAATGTTGCGGAAAGGGAAGCGAAGATTTTTGAACATGTGAAACAAAGCGCAGATGCATTGATGCAGATGCACCATTTGCGGCGACAGGAGGAGATACACCGCAAACTTGCAGACGAAGCGGAGAAACTCCGAGTCCTGAACAGTATAGATCGGTGGAGGAAGAAAAAGGATTCTGCAGGTGAACATCACCTACCGGTGCACGCGAAGGTGGACAGCCAAATAGGGGAGGTGGAGCAGTTGCTGGAGAGACACCAAGAAGAGCTCAATAAAATGGAGAAGGCGGAGGACCATTCCTCTGCGCAGAGTGCGAAGCAAGCGGCGGAAGACTTGGTAAGGCGTCTGAAGGCCTTGCTATCGGATGTGGCGAACTTGACACTTTCAATGCCTCCCATAGGAGAAGACGACGCAGGTGACCACGAAAGCAAGGTACTCATGGAAGCGCTGTCGTTGAGGGCCAAACTGGCGGCTGAGAAGGCTCTCGAGAGAGTGAAGGGCATCCAAAAGGAGTTGGAGTCGCAGTCGTTGCTGCGCAGCGGTGATGC